CGTTTTGTAATTGCCCACCTACTTCTGTCCCCAGCCCCCCATGTGCCCCCCTAAATATGAATGCTGGAGACGCCACTGTAGATAGCTCCCTAATACTGTGGGAATTAGGGAGTTATCTACTAAGCGTCTGCTTATTTTATGTATTTTAATTTATTTTAAGTGATTTCCCTATCCACATTTGTTTGCAGGGCACTTGTCCTACTCTTACCCCCATTTTACTTCCTTTTGCAGCCCTCTAGCCCTTTCCAGGAGTTTTTTAGAGCCATTTTTGTTCCCAAAAGTTCAGGTCCCCATTGACTTCAATGGGATTTGGGGTCAAGTTCGATCCTGAACTCTGACTTTTTTTCAAAGTTCTGCCGAGCCTGGCGGACTCGAACATCCAGGTGTCCGCTCAACTCTACCATTGAATAAAACAATATTGCATTTGTGGGATTCGTGATTAATGCATTGATAACATTCTACAGTCTGTATTTTAGCTGCTGTTTGTGGCTCATGCGCCTTGATGGAGAATAATTTATACTAAATAAAAACAATCCTCAGTATAGTCGCAACATTGTAATAAAACTTAATTAACATTCCCAACACTATCTTTTAAAAAAAATAGTTTTTATTGATTTTTTGGGGAAAAAAAATACATTTTAAAAGGGAAAAACAATGGGAAAGGGTACAAGGATAAAAGAGGAAAAAAATAGGTGGACAATTTCTCCATCCACAAACACAGCATAAAAAGGAACATAGATGATCTCCAGCAATCATGATATCAATTCATGAGATCATTATTATATGTATATAATAAGCAAGTTTGTCTAATATGTAATTATATAAAATATCATCAATTTTAAATATAGAGTATAATCTTTACTTTATACAATTATAAAAAGATATTCAATGAGGCTAAACAAATTTGCATTCATATATGGTTACATTAAATGCATTTAAAGCAGAGAGATCTCATATATCTTCTAGTCAAAATGAGTTACCGATATGTTTATGTATAGACAGAGAAATTATTTACAAATAAATAGATTCTTAATTCTTTTGATGGTATACTTCATCTCACCTAATACTCATTACGACCTCTGGCTGACCCCAGGCTAAAGGAAATAGAGAAGGCAAAAGTTGTATTACTGCTACCTTTTCCCTACCTGTTTTTAATATTTACGTACAGAAAATCTATATTCTTGTAGTCCTGGGCTCAGGATAATTAGCCATTCGAAATGTCTCCACATAATACTATAATTCTATTTAATTTCCTCTCACGTTGGAATTAGTGTAGGACCCACCGACATTGGAGTAGTGTGAAGTAGTGGTGGACTTAATACAACATGGCTATATGGTGAAACGGAATCCTCATATTTATTTGATGAAACAGGTGGTTTTAAGTAGCCGTATAAAATGTAAAATGGTATTTGTATGTGTGCGCTGTTCCTTTATCTGTATTATCCATATAATATTCAGCATTATATATTTTGCTCAAAGCCTCTCATAAGCAATTACTTATTTGATTGTAATACCACACTCCTATTCATACTCTTAAAATAACCAATATGCTAAATCAGTTGTCTTGTACTGTATCATCATAAATAGTTAGATAGAAGAGGTAGTTAGTTCAGCACTCCGGATATTATGGACTACATCTTCTATAATGCTCTTACAGTCGGTGATTATGTACTCCACAACATCTGGAGTGCCAAAGTTTGCAGATCCCTGGTCTAGGGTGATAGTGTATACCAGCGTTTCCCAATTGGTGTTACATACATAGTTACATAGCTGAAAAGAGACATGTGTCCATCAAGTTCAGCCTTTTACACATTAGTTTTTTGCTGTTGATCCAAAAGAAGGTAAAAAAAAAACACCTCAGTTTGGAGCACTTCCAATTTTGCAACATACTGGGAAAAAAATTTCTTGTTGACCATAGGATGGCAGTCAAATTGATCCTTGGATCAAGAGGCTATTACCCTACATTGAAAAATTATACCCTTGCAGCTCTAAGTCTGCCCTCTGTGGCTGTCTACCAGACAGCTACTAGAGGGCTTCCTGAATTGAAATGGACCTTTGGTATCTGACGCTGGACGCCCTCACGCTCTGCATGAGAACATTCAGCATTAGATTTTCCCCCATAGGAGAAACATTAATTCAATGCTTTCCTATGTGGAGGTCGGATGTGTGCGCATGCACATTAGACCCGTTCAACGCAGGGCGGATGAAGGGGCGGAGAGTTGACCTAGCATTGAGGGAAATCGGCACTGGGATAAGTTAAGTAAATAAAGGTGTTTTATTTACCGGGAAGGGGAGGCGCGAAGGTGGGGGAAGGCAGGGGGAGGCAAATACAGCTTGTGTTGTGTTTCTGGCACTACAATATCCCTTTATTTATTTTATGTTGTTGATCCAAAAGAAGAACAAACATTTTTTTTATTAAGCAATAACAATTATGTCACAAAAATGAAAAGAAAAAAAAAGATAATTAATCATATCATTGAATATTCAGATTTTCTAAAAAAAATAATATATAAGTATTTTTTCAATATTTACAGAGAATGACCTCTTTGGATAGAGAATGTCACATCTCTATTCTTACTATATATATTCCTTTCCTCGTCTCTCTTCCTATGTTAGTAGATGACCTCTTGTCTGTTGTATATTTCTGTTAATCAACAGGTTAGCACATTGGTATGTACCCTGTATATATTTCTGTAGTGCTATCAAAGTTTTTCTGAGAAACCTTTCTTTTTTCTAAAGAAAAAAAAAATAATCTTCTTTAAAATTGGTGCCCAAAATCGCACCACATATTCAAGGTGGGATCTTAAAGATTCTTTATAAAGAGGCAAAATTAAACAATTTTCATCACATGCATCAATACCAATTTTTTATACATGACAGCATCTTATTAGCCCTTGCAATGGCAGACCAACATTGCACACTGTTGCCTAATTTTTTGTAAGTTGCTTGTAGGTTTTACTTCAAAATGCATCTACTAAAGACACTGTGGGTGCAAACACAGGATTTACTCTTGCATGTGCATATTTATTTTAGGACAATTAGTTTCTACAAAATTTTTAAATTAAAATAAATACTGACTTTTTAATTTAATTTAATAACAGCCAAATCTCATGATAATTTTGTCATTTTGTAATTACAACATCTCATGATAATTTTGTAATTTGAAATTTCAGTAATCCTATTTATATAAATAGACTCTCCAGTGCCAGGGAAACATACCGTATATACTCGTGTATAAGTCGATCTCATGTATAAGTCGAGTGCAGTTTTGTGACCAACAATTGTGAAATATGCTATGCCTCGTGTATAAGTCGAGGGTAAAACTTGGGGCTATGAAATTCTGTGATTTTTATAATTATATACACACACACTCATACAAACTCACACTCTGCATTATATATACACACACTCATGCAAACACACACTCTGCATTATATATACACACACACTCATACAAACACACATTCTGCATTATATACACACACTCATACAAACACACACTGCATTATATACACACACTCTGTGTATATAATGCAGAGTGTGTATATAATGAAGAGTGTGTGTTTGTGTAGTGTGTGTGAACTGGGTGGGGGGAGGGCATTTTTATTATTTAATTTTTATTTTATTTTAATATTTTTTATTTTATTTTAATTTTTTTTGTCCCACCTCCCTGCTTGTTAACCGGTCAGGGAGGGGGGCTATCTTAATCCCTGGTGGTCCAGTGGCATGGGCTGTGAAGTGGGGGGCCGGCAGGAAGCATTTATTTACCTTTCTTGCAGCTCCTGTTAGCTCCCTTCTCCTCCGTTCCGGTCAGCTCCACTGTAAGTCTCGCGGTCTGGTTGCCGCGCGGATTGTTGCCATGGCTCTGGCGGCCGCGGCTCTCTAAGTTGCCATAATACAGACAGTGACTCGAGTATAAGTCGAGTGGGGGTTTTTAAGCACAAAAATGTGCTGAAAAACTAGACTTATACTCGAGTATATACTGTAGTTCCTATGTTGCTGAATTGGTTAAAAACCCTTCAGTGACTTACCGGAGTCCAGCGCATGCGCATTAGACCTCCCCATAGGAAAGTATTGAAGTCTAATGCGCTTGCGTGGCCATTAGCCACATGTTATTAATCACTGCAGTCACACTATAAATTATCTTTGCCATCACTTTCAATTTCCTCTGCTACCTCTTGTCTCATTTCCCTATTTTACCTTTAGTTTGTAAGCTCACAAGCAGGGCCATCTACCTTTTGTATTGGTCTGTTTATTGTCAATTGTATTGTTCTCCCAATTGTACAGCACTTTACAAATGCCAGTGATAAATAAATATAATAAATAAAGCATATTATTCCTGAAAGAAAATACGATGACATTGTATTTCTAAAGAAAAAGAAAATCAAAATTTCTTCTACAAATTCATACTATTGATTGAAATTGAAATAAAAGACACCAGCATTGTTAGTACGAGTTAGCAAAAGGATGTTTATCAGCAGAGTTTATTTTAAATGACCTTTTAATTAACCTTGATAAATGTATACGATCTACAAATAATCAGTTACAGGAACTCGAGCTCTCTAATGTCTCTGATTCAATTTTTTTTTTGTAAAACAACAAATGATTTAAATATATTTGTATAGGGGGGCGGGGCTTAACCGCGGAACGGAACGGACGCCATTTTCGGGAGCTCCAACGGAGCTCTGCTCAATCCGACGGATATCCACCATATCCCACACCAACATCTACATCCAGGTGTCTCCCAATATCGGCACATGCCATTCTTTGCTGGTTCCGGACAGAACCAGCGATGGAAGAAGCCTGCAGCCTACCATCACGCTACGCGCCTGGAGGATTTCCTGGGGCACATCTCCCTCCAGCACAACTGGAGCACAGACACCCACTTACCTGCAGATCAGCCCTCAACCATGGAAAGACGCTCACAGAAACCTCTCTCAGGTACCTCAAGCGAATCCTAAGACATAGGGGCCCTATTACAGCGCCAAACCCTGTCCAAAATGGCGGCCCCAGCCAACCAGCAGGCCCTAGCAGACCCTCAGACCCAAACACCTGACTACCCTCAAGCACAAACCCTGCCACAAACACCAGAACACACAACTGCAGCCTTACCTGATATATCAGCTCTGGCCACCAAGCATGATATTAAAAATCTCTTCACCGAATTCCGCCAGAAGCTAGCAACTGACATAGTCATCCAGGCTGACTTACAGGTGGTTACAGACAGGGTGAGTGCCACAGAAGAGGACATCATAGATATGAGGCGGGAAATTATAACTGTACAAGACTCCCTGCAAAACGTCCACAAAACCCAGCAAGCATTTTCCACGCAACTTGTTACGCTGGAGGACTGTTCCAGGCGTAATAACCTGAAGGTAAGACGGGTACCTGAGTCCGTCACCATGGACGAAATGCCCCACTACCTGCGAAGACTAACAGCCTCCCTATTACCACTAACACAAGCCAAAAAGCTTGCTCTTGATGGCATGTTCCGCCTACCAAAATCACCTAGGGCCCCAGCAAGTGCCGTGAGTGATATCATAGTTCGCTGCGCCCTGGCTCAAGACAAAAAAGCACTCCTCTCAGCTATACGAAACCAAACACCATACACATTTGAGGGTGCTGACCTGTCCTTCTACCAAGACCTGTTGAGGTCCACCCTGCAATGGCGCAAAACGCTCCACCCAACCATGAGCCAACTGAGAACCGCAGGAGTTACATACCGCTGGACCACTTCACAAGCCCTCACAGTGACCCACAACGGATCTAGCCACGTGATCACCACGGCCGAAGAAGCACCTACACTTGGTTAGGGGCACTAACAGCCACAACCGGCCCAAACTCCCCTCGAAGCAACAACACTATCATCTATAGCCCAGGCCCGACAAGCGAGGCTGATTAAAAGACGGAGGCACACACTACCGTACACACCCATATACTTAACCCCACATCAAGCTACATGACCACATTTAGCAGCCACCAAACTGCCTACACCCGATCGGATTCAGCTCAGACAACCTCAGCTACAGTTCACGTCCACCCGCTACATTGCAGGCTCGGCATCAAGAGAAGCACAGGTTGAAGGGTGCCATCCCTAACATGCACAAGGGTACCCGAAAAGCTCTCCCTAGACAGACACGTAACTCCGTCAATAATAACAATAGCCTCAGCAAAAACAGTATTTATGCCTGATTTTGCTCATGCTAGCACACTATATCATCACAACAAGCACCCTGCCAGACATGCAAACCGACGTTTAATATTGTTGTTTTTATGCAAGGTCTGACTCAGGTCAGAACCTTTTACCTATTGCCTGAACCACAAAAATGGTGCATCTTTATCCACATGCCTTGTATACGCAAACTGCCTTCTCGCATTGCCTACTAATGTCATGTTATACCCTGCAAACGATATTTAACATGCACTGAAAATAAAGAATTATTAATGATTTAAATATATGTGTATAATTAATCTAATAGAACATATTTTGAAAAATAATTTGAAATGTAATAATTTTATTTTGGCTAAAAATATTTCAGTGAAAATATAAAAAGAGAACTCCAAAAAATCAAATTAGGCACAATTTGAATATAGTGTTCTACCAATAGCCATGTAATAAATATAGGTTTTATTTACAATTTCTACTATCTTACTAAAGGCGTGTTTAATCCTGCAATTGAGACAAAGCAGTTTCTACAATACTACAGTGTATTCCATTGCAGAGTTAAAACTACTGGGCACCCAGACATTAAGATGAAGTGGTCCTTTTATTATTATTATTATTATTATTATTATTATTATTATTATAATTATTATGATATTTATAGAGCACCGTCAAATTCCGCAGCGCTTTACAATGGGTGGACGAACAGACATATAGTTGTAACCAGACAAGTTGTACACACAGGAACATAGGGGTTGAGGGCCCTGCTCAATGAGCTTACATGCTAGAGGGAGTGGGGTAAAATGACACAAAAAGGTAAGGATAGTATATACACAGTACTAAACAGGGAAAAAATCTTTGTCAGAGCACATGTCCATTCTTCCAACCTATTCACTACAGTAAAGTGTTGATTAGCATGTTTTTATTTTGCTTTTGTGAATGAATATAAAAGTTTAGTTGACTATCGGCAGCTGGGTGTTCTTTCTACATAAATTGCTGAATTTTCAGTTGTGTACTCATTTTTCATTGTTTACTTAAAGGGACCCTATAGTCACCAAAACAACTTTAGCTTAATTAACCCCTTAAGGACACAACTTCAGAAATAAAAGGGAATCGTGATGGAATATTTCCGTCGTGTGTCCTTAAGGGGTTAAGTAATTTTTGTGTATAGAGCATGCCTCTGATGTTTCACTGCTCAATTATCTGCTATTTAGGAGTTAAATCCGTTTTGTTTTTGTTTATGCAGCCATATCCACACCTCCCCTGGCTGTGACTGAAACAACCAGCATGAAAACAAAACTGATTATTTTTTAATCTGATATAACTCACTTTAAAAAAAATATTTCCTGCTCTGTAAATTGAACTTTAATTACATACATGAAGCTATTAACAGATCAGGAGATATGACATTCTTAACGACACAGAATTTGCAATAAAGGAAGAGTAAACATTAGATGATTTTTTACAGGAAGTGTTTAGGAAGGTATTTGTAAGTTGTGTGCAGGGAGGAGTGACTAGGGCTGTATAAATAAAGTGATTCAACTCCTGAATAGCAGAGAATTGGGCAGTGAGACTACAGAGGCATGGCCTATACACCAAAAGTTATTTATTAAGCTAAAGTTGTTTAGTGTTCCTTTAATATCTATGCATCACTCGTGATCCACCGCTTTCTATTGTTTTAGGCATTGCATTCCTATGTGAGACTGCATCACTCATTAGTAAGTTACATGTGGGGCCATCACCCACTATAGTTCACGTATTTATTTTTAGGAAAGGGGAGTTGACATAATATGGATTGAGCAGTGTATTATGTGTGATGTACGGTAGAGAATATCCTATTGTTTGCCACTACTCACTCCAGTATTCTAGGCTGTCTATTAATTCTAATGCTGTTCTCATCTTTCCAGTTGTATTCTATAGTTTGTTGGTGTCTGTTTACAAAGTCAACTTTATATACTTCCTGTTTGTATTGCCAATTCCCTCATGTGTCAGCTGGTGGTGAGGAGAATATTCTTTATAACATTTATGTTTTTTTTATGATCTTTTGTGTAACATAAATCAAACTGACATAGAGTAATATCCAAATAGACAAAAATAATCACAATTTACAAAAGACAAATTAAGAACTTTATTTTATTTATTTTATTACCGGTCAGTCATGTCATCTGGAAAATCGAAAAACATTGTACAAATGAACTTAAAAAAAAAAAAAAAAAAAATCATTTTTTTTTTTAGCTCCAATGAAAAAGAAAGAAACAAAAAAAAAAAAAGTGAAAATGTATGTATGGCAGAGAGGAAAGTAGCAGGGCAGCTTTCCTAGCCCGATTAGCATCATAATGTATCTGTGAGAGCTGCTGCAGAACATATGTAGAAAATGGTTAATGGATGGGCAGGTAAAGTTGACTGTGCTGGTGGGTAAATATAGGTTGTTGAGCATAGGGAGCAATATAACTGGATGGGCTAGTAGGTGATTAGGTTGTAGGAGTATGTGGACGAGGAGGTGATGGATAAGATGTCAGAGGATAGCATAGGATGAATACAGTAAGTCATGTGACTAGATCGCTGAATGTAACAGGCTTGTTTAAATGCACGTAATTGGTGAGTGGGGTGAATGTGACTGGGTGTGTGGTGGCATGTGACTGTATGGAGGTATTTAACCATGTATGTGGCTAAGTGAATGTGACTAGGTCATGGTATAGAACAGTTGGAAGTAATGACAGGATGCTTTACAGTTGATGACACCTAAATGGGACTGGTGAGAGAGACAAAGTCTGTTCATGTTTATACACATTGTTATAAAGCTAGTTGGGTGTGTGACTGTATAAAGAATCCAAATGATTTGCTGACAGTATATCGGCATCTTGGTGCACCCCATACACACCTTAAGTCACCCCACAAGAAGTCTTGCAAAGGCCTTTAAAGATTTTGTGGGGTTTGTTATTGTGACTTTGCATTTGCATATTTTTTTCCTTTGGTTATTCTTATTATTATCGCCACTTATATAGCACAAACAGATTCCGTAGCGCTTTACAATATTATGAGAGGGGGGGGGGGAGGATTTACTATAAATAGGACCATTACAAGAAAACCTACAGAAGCGATAGGTTGAAGAGGACTCTATAGGAGGTGGGGTGTAAAACGCAAAAGGACAGGAAAACACAATAGGAGTTGTTTCTTCTAACTTAAATGGAACTTGTTATATGAAGGCAGACATTTTCTTGATTCATCCAGGCATATTGTTTATATCCTGTGTATTTGTAGAACTCTTGCATTAGCAGATAAAAGGGATATTTAGTCTTTCATCTGTTCATCGTTCAACCTATTAGACAAAGTGCTGATCAATATCATGATGGAATATCTACACCATGTTTTACAAAAGCAAATTAAAATGCATTTTCAGTCTGTAGTATTTCACCACAATTGCTGAATACCAGTTGACAAGTTGCTGATCAAGTATCTTAATCTTAATTTATACAGAAGTGCTGGAGTTTGGCCTGTGTGTATTCGTAGGCCCAACTTTTGTGTGCTGTTATATTATATCCGTTATCTAACTTGTTATTAGGCATGGACAACATTCTGAGTCTTCTTTTAATCCTACAAATAGGCAAAATAATGAATAACCTTGTGTGAGGGTAGTATATATATTTGTTTAAAAATTTTGCAGCAAATTAATGAAAAGCCTGCCAGGGTGTAGCCCTGGCTTTCATTGTACTATTTATGCCACAACAAGCATCTACAGTCTCAGCAGAGTGCATTGGTCTCTCACCACTATATACTCCTCAGTCTTCACTAGTTAAAGGGTTACCCAAATAAAAAAAAAACAGGTTTTATGAAACACTAGTGTTGGTTAAATTAACCCTTTTTCTTGTGGTCCACATCCCACAAACTTAAAAAAAAATAAAGAAAAAAAAGCTTTCACTTGCCTCTTTCTTTTATTGCCAAGGGAAAGTTCACCCTTAGCCTGATCTTTCTTGGCTGATGTCACTCCCCCTTGTCAGACGAGGAGGGGTCAAGTAGGGTGGGTTGAGAGGAGGACATGGGTGGCACGGAAGGGTAAGCCATACT